AAGGGCTGCTTGTCTTGCCCAGAAATCTGTTAGTCAAAAATCATGTCAATAAGAATAAAGACCTTTGGAATCAGATCACCACAGGCCATACGACAAAATTTAACATGCAGAAATCAAAAGAAGAGATATATAACAGTTACAAAAGAGCCAGCAAAACGCTGCAAATGACTGCCGTTGCTACTTTGTTACCAGGTACCATCAGACCCCATAAGCAAAATTTTACATGATACCATAGCAGTTATAAAAGAACTAACAAAACTCTAACAAAGTATATGTAATAAATTCAAAACTCTGCAATCTCTTAATTAGCTCATCGCATGTATATGATTTAGTGACCAAAATGTGAACTCACCCCAAATTTCAATGTTCTATCATACAGAGTGACAAGGCTGGAAAATAGCTTCACAGCATAATTTGCAATCTCTTCAGTTTCATATTCTGCAAACGTAAATCCTCTGGGCTTGCCTGTTTCCCGGTCACGAGGAATATGCAAATCCAAAATCCTCCCAGCTTGAATTAGAATGTCGTACAGAACCTTATGGGTAACCCTCTCGTGTGAACTAAGTAGATAAAACTGAAAGGTTAAATCTCCAATTTGATCCCTGAATTATTATATGAATCAGCAATTTGGCCTCTAATCTAAAAAAATCCCTAATTTGGTCTCTAAATTATTGTACGAATCTCGATTTGGTCCCTTTTCTTTACAAAAAACAGCTGAAGTGTCTCGTTATTAACATAACACGTAGTCGTTAAGTTATTATTTTTTGTCATTAAATAATGGATATAATGGATATGTCAACTATTTTTTGTACAAAAAAAACCAATTTAAAGCAAATTGGTAAACAGTAAAACCAAATTAGGGATTCATACAATATTTGAAAAACTAAATCAAAGATTTTTTTAGTTTAAAGACCAAATTAGAAGTCTATACAATAGTTTAGATATCAAATTGAAGGTTTAACCAAATTGAAATAGAAAAAAATAAAATAAGATTATAAAACCCTAACAAATTAAATGTTGTAAAAAATATATATCCATTCAAACTCTAACAAAATTTTAAATAATATAACTCACGTCATGTTATCGGTCTAAAATTTTAGCTCATAAAATTTGTTCATTTATTATTGTTCATTTCTTTATTGAAATTTTCTCAAATTTACTTTTATAATTGACAAAAAAAAAATCTATTACTACAAACCAAACATGAACAAAAACTCCCAATTGTAATTTTGTAGTAGTCTTATTCAATTCAGCTTTCAATGGTTTTCCGCAAAAGAAAACGGGAAAAAGAATGCTCCACTTCAGATTCAATCTCTCATTCAATTACACAGT